AATAGTGAGAAGACACATATCCGGTCCATAGCCCCGCCCGCTAACTGACTTTAATGAACCATTATTTTAATTTCAGTTTCTTAAAACAAAACTTAGTTTAACGTGTTAAGTGAGCTCTGTCAAAGATGTCAACATTGAAAGTATAGGAAAAATGTTACAGTTTTGGAACCTTACAGTAAATTTCAGTAGCGAATGTCGCCACGATCATTTAAATTTATCGCGCCTGCTACATCAGGCATACCAACACACTTGCAAACTGTTGCCAACAGTCATGACTTATCTTGTAGTTTGCAAGAACATTCTTCCAGGGCCATTTAACCGAAGGTTCTAAAATTGAGAATATTGAACCTAGAAGTTTTGGTAAATTTGTGTTCCGTATCGCATAATTTTTGATTTCCGACCATTTTGACCAGACCGACCAGCTCACAAGTGACCGGATATACATAAGAAGTCGAACAAAACTGCACATCCGTTACCTGTAGACCCCTTCAGCAGCTATTTTCTTTCCGGCATTGTCGTAGAACAACCAACATGCCTGTGAGTATTGCGGCTTACTTTATTTCGTGAAATTGACGTGTTTTATTTCATTTACGTCCGTAGTAAATTGTGTGATAAATACCAGTTTTCTGCTCGTAAAATTTTTACTCGGGGTATCAATGTAGAACGTTTGTATCTTCAATATCGCAGTGATCCTTGCATGTCAAAACACGTTCCACGTCGGTCTGAATATCCCCATGTGACTTACGCATTTTAAGTTTCTTGGCGTTTCAATCCTTGTTTAAAGAAGTACGTCCTGCGTAAATTTTGCGGGCTAGATCACGAACTCCACATGCAACGCAAACTATTGACTACCGTTACGTACGGCCTAAGTGTTCCATGTCCCAGCGTGCAGCGTGGATTGTGCCATAAGATTCACTTTTTTTTGTTCGTAAAATGCTGTGTGCATCTTATTATACCCTTTCGCTGCATGAATTCACTTGAGATTGTTCAGACTCTGTTTCGGTTGAGTCTGTCCAGAACCGTAGCTGGATTCCCCTGGACCATTTGTAGGTTATGTCGTCCTCTCTGATTGCTCTTATTACTCAATTCGGACATCTCAAGTTTTTCTTCTCAATATCCAACTTGTGACTTTAGTAAAACTCCAATTTTATGTTGAGCGACAGCCTCAAATTATCTGAGATGTTAGACTACTTCTAATATCTTATTTCTTGCACGATACAGCGTAATTTGGTACCCTCCCCCCATGACTATTGTGTTGCACAATTCACACCTCATTGATTCTTGAACAACATGCATTGTAAGCATAATTTACATATTCCATGTCTGTGTCTGTTTCAGTTGGCGAGAGATCTACTCCACCCCAGCGCTGCTGAGGAGAAGCGCAAACATAAGCTTAAGCGCTTGGTCCAGCACCCCAACTCTTATTTCATGGACGTTAAGTGCCCAGGTAAGATACTGTCTCACATTTGTTATCCTTATTCTGTGTTCCTACTATCCTGTAACTAACACTTATGTTTTCTCTCCAGGATGTTACAAAATTACAACAGTGTTTAGCCACGCACAGTCTGTAGTTGTGTGCGCAGGATGCTCGACAATCTTGTGTCAGCCAACTGGTGGCAGAGCTCGCCTCACTGAGGGTGAGTTCTATGAATTGCAGGTGTCATCTGTCATCTTTTCATCACCATATGTAAAACATTTTCTCTTTGTCAACAGGCTGCAGCTTCAGGAGGAAACAACATTAAGTATCAGTTAATAAATTTATAAAAATACAATCTTATTTTATTTTTTGACAATAACCAATCTCTTACACAATACATTCAGTGGAGAATGTGCATCATAATCCTTTACATCTGGCAGCCCAGAATTGTGCTGCAATATCACGAGCAAGCCTAGTTAGTCCAATTGCTTGCATATTTACAGTAATTGCAACAGTTACCCCTGTTGGTATTTCTTGTCCAGTTGGCTCTTGGGGCACTATGAGGAGAATGCTGCTAGCACCCACCGCACCCCCAGTATGATTAACTGAAAATGCCTGAGGCTCTACTCCTCCACATTTACTCAATGGTGGGGTAACAACCCATCCAAGTCCATACCCACTGGTTGGTGCCAGGGCTTTAGGTTCTTGCACAGTGTGGGGAGAGATTGTCCAGAGCGCTTCAATGGTTTCTCTTTTTAAATACCCTCCAGGTCCACCTTGGTAGCAATAAAGCATAGCATCACCAAACTTGACCAAATCCCCTACTGTTGATTGAAATCCTCCACCAGCCCATTTGCAGGAGTTGTCAACACATGGTGAGTTGACAAGTTTTCCATTCTTGTTGCGGGAGTAATATCTGTGGGATTAATTGACTATAATTTAGGAGCCACTAAAATAGACACCGTAAGAACTTGTGCAGTAGATTACCTTGCTCTGTTTGGTACTAGCCATTCATTTTCATCCATTTTTGTATGTGTCAATCCCAACTGATTGCACATATTGATCATTAACTGACGGTAAGATACTTGAGCTCCTTTCTCCATAATCGCACTAACCAATGTCCACGCTGGTGAGGAATACAGATATTTTGTACCTGCAATAATGGATTTAAATTAATGATGTTCTCACGCATGGTTTGTAATACTAAATAGCAGCCAATCAGATGGCAGAATTCCACACCTGGTTTATGCAGAAGCTCGTCATTTTCAAATATGCTTAAAGCCTCTTCAACGGTCTTAAAACGAGTATTCATGTAGAATTCTGGAGTGACTGGCTCCTCAGCTGAAGGATTCTTTTCTTCTCCTCCTTTCCAATGGCGGATTCCTGCCAAATGACTAACAAGCAGACGCGTTGTGATATCCACCTGACACATATTAAGGAGAAGTAGTGTGAGTATGATGAACAAATCACAAACTCCATTGAACTCTGAACATTCAACACATACAGGTTCTCCTTGAAAAGTCTTCTTTGGGAATTTTGGAACATAGTGCTGTACAGTCTGGTCTAAATCAACCAGTCCACTCTCCCAAAGCTTTGCAAGAGCAGCCATGGTAAGTGATTTACTGATACTAGCAATCCGCATGACAGTTTTGGGAGTGCAAGGTACACCATTTTCGACATCAGAATAGCCAAATCCTGCAAAATGTACAAAAGGAGTGAATTTGCATAACTTGAATAAAATTTAAAAGGGGGAATAACTTCTCAGTCAAACTGTTAGCTCGAGCTATGGATGTAAGTACATTTTTGGATGTGTACATCTAGGGAAAGCCTCAGTCTAAAAGAAATTACTTGTATCCTAAGTCATGTAGTATTCATCCTCTGTAACTTTCATCCCTGTTGTTAACAGAGCGGGGTGTCGCTCACGGTCTTGCAATGTTCCTTGAGCTCAAGAAAGATCAGAAAAGCCGCGATAGGGAAAGCCCATAGCAAAAGTAAAGCGCAAGGTACCTTCCGTCCACACGGTCTTGCCGTTCACATTGACCGCGACGCAGACGCCGGGAATGCCCATCTCCTCCTTGGTCAGGCTGACCAGCTCCCTGCTGGCTCGGACAGCGCCCTCGTACAGGGAAGTCCGGGGGAGAGCCGGCTTTCGGGCGTCCCCGAGTGAGGGCCGCTCACTGCTGATCAGCTGTTCGGGGCTCGCGGGGGCGGCGGCCTCTGCTGCAGCGGCAGTGGCCGTCTGATCGGGCTGCTGCCGCAGCAGAAGCACCGACACCGCTGCACCCGCCGAGAATCCGCCCACGGCACCTGTGGCGACCCACCAATGGCGACCGAAACTCGCCATTTCAGCTCGAAGCCACCCTCCTCAGTGGTTTTGCGGCGACTAATTTTTCAGTCGGGGGGCCGAGATTTCGTAAAGTGGCATTAACCTACTGACTGTCACTGACTGCTGCAGCTGTACTGTGTTTACACCTTTGTGCCCATAAGCCCTGTTGCCAAATCGCTTCGCAGATCTTCCAGTCTCCAAGTGGCCGTTCGCCCGTTCGTCCACTTTTGTCCCTGTTTTCATTTCATATGACTTCACAACTAAGACGTGGGTATAGCCATTATTCCAATAGTTTCCATTTAAATGAGAGATGTATTTAAAAAAAGTGAACCTATTCAGTGGTCGAAATGCGTATGATCATTTGGGGTTTTCTAAAGCGGTCTGGAGGGCCGTGACGTAGTTCATCTGTTTATGGGGTCTGTTTCTGTTCTGTTTCTGTTGTGATGAAAATGGATGAAAATGGCGAGCAAAAGGCCCGCTCTCTCCGCTCCTGAACATTTATCCTGCCAGTCAGATCCTTTACGAGAACTTTTCGAAGCGTGCAAAACGGGCGATATCGTAAAGGTGAAAAAGCTAGTGTCACCACAAACTGTGAACGCCCGTGATACTGCTGGGAGGAAGTCCACCCCCCTACACTTCGCAGCTGGTGGGTAGCGTCCTCCAACTTTGTTTATGTACCCTGTGTTGTAAGATTTCCGTCCGATTTATTTTGAATTTTCTCGCTAAACTTTCGCCTAGCCCAGAAATCTTAATCTTCGCTCTCATTTCCTACACTGTGGCACAACAACCTGGATAACTCCCTCCCTCCCCTCTCCTGGTTCTCATTGTATTCTGTGCAAGGGGCTGAATAGTTTTACTTGTTGTTTTTCTCTTGGAGACCAATTCCAGTTATTCTGTCAAATCATTCATTGCTACCTTTTCGCACTTGTATCTCATGTAGTCGTATTAACTTTTTTTTGTCACCCCAAACTGCTTTTGACCAATTGCCTAGACTGTGCAATGTCTTTTTTTGATAATCTCATAATCTCTTTCTACCTAGGATATGGACGGAGAGACGTTGTAGAACTATTATTAGCTTCTGGAGCATCCATTCAAGCCAGGGACGATGGCGGCCTACACCCTCTACACAATGCCTGCTCGTTTGGTCATGCTGACGTTGTTAGATTATTACTAGAAGCTGGGGCTAATCCAAACACTAGAGACAACTGGAACTATACCCCACTACATGAGGCTGCCATCAAAGGAAAAGTCGACGTTTGCATTGGTAAGATAAATTACTGATATCACATTGCCTATGTGCAGCCTGTGTTTCAAAGGATTAACACTTATTTTATTACTTCCAGCATTACTTCAGCATGGAGCAGATGCAAGCATACGCAACACTGAAGGAAAAACTGCTGTAGAACTAGCTGATGCTGCCACCAGGCCTGTACTAACAGGAGATTATCGAAAAGAGGAGCTTTTGGAAGCTGCAAGATCAGGAGCTGAAGACAGACTATTAGGGCTTCTGAATCCTCTGAATGTAAATTGTCATGCAAGCGATGGAAGACGTTCAACACCCCTACACTTGGCTGCAGGCTACAATAGGAGTCGAGTTGTCCAACTTCTCCTCCAGCGTGGAGCTGATGTCCATGCTAAAGACAAAGGGTAACCAGATATTCTGTTCAGAATATAGAATTTGTACAGTGCCTAATTGATGTAATTGTTAATCTAATCTACTATTGTCTTTGCTTTTGTAGAGGTCTTGTACCATTACACAATGCTTGTTCCTATGGACACTTTGAGGTAACTGAAATGCTACTCAAGCATGGTGCACTTGTGAATGCCATGGATTTATGGCAGTTCACCCCACTCCATGAGGCTGCATCAAAATCTCGAGCTGAAGTTTGCTCCTTACTGTTGAGTCATGGAGCTGATCCAACCCTTCTTAACTGTCATTCAAAATCAGCCCTTGATGTTGCACCAACTAGGGAACTTCAGGACCGTTTAGCCTGTAAGACAAATTGCCATTCTAGTTAATATTGAGCACCCAATAAGTTTGAATAACTTACCCAATTTTGAAATAATTTTCTAGATGAATTCAAAGGACATTGTTTGATGGAGGCAGCTAGGCAAGCTGACCCAGCCAGGGTTAAGAAATATTTGACTGCAGAATTAGTTAATTTTAAGCATCCATATACAGGTGACACTCCCCTGGTAAGTAGCTTGTGTCTTGTTGCTGTCTTCTTTCAGATATGTTTCCATTCTAAATTACTTCCTCTGTAGCATGCTGTGGTTTCTTCCTCGTCTCCCAAACGGAAACAAGTCATTGATATGCTTGTGCGCAAAGGAGCTCATCTCAATGAAAAGAACAAAGGCTTCCTTACTCCTCTCCATTTGGCTGCAGACAATTCTCATTTTGATGTTATGGATGCGCTGCTGCGCCACGGTGCAAAGGTTAATTCTTTAGATGCACTTGGACAAACAGGTAATTTTCAGCATTATTTTTATGTAAAGGCTATTTGCAATTGTCTGTCTCAGCTGCCATTAATTATTCTATTTCACAGCTTTACATCGTGCTGCCCATGAAGATAATGTACAGGCTTGTCGTATCTTACTTTCTTACAATGTTGATCCCAACATTGTATCTCTTCAAGGATACACTGCTTCTCAGGTGGCAACTGAAAATGTTAATAAAATTCTACAGACAACAAAACCTAGTAAGAAAAATTTGAAATGCCATGTATGAGTGTCTCATTTATGTGAGACATACTGTCAAGTGCAACATTATCTTCAAATTCAATTTTCAGCTGAGCCGGTCACAAGTTGTGTTGATGTTGAAAGCCAAATGCTAGAAGCTGCCAAAGCAGGGGACTCGGAGCAAGTGCAGAGGCTCCTTACTGCTTGCCCACAAATTGTTAACTGTAGAGATCTAGATGGACGGTAGGTTTTTCAACAACTTGTGTGCTGTCTATTAAAAAGACAAATTAATATTATAAAACCAACAAAAGATTGTGCTCTATTTTTTCTTGTGTCATGTTCTTTTTGTTTGTTTTAAGTCTAAAGTAATCTCTAACTTTGGGTGTATATTCTTTAGGCATTCAACCCCACTTCACTTTGCTGCTGGTTACAATAGAGTAGCAGTTGTGGAGTTCTTACTTGCTCAGGGAGCTGATGTGCATGCAAAAGATAAGGGGTTTGTGTTCTTTTAAAATAATTTCCTGTTACAATGACTGTAGTATTTGTGGTTTGCTTGGGTTTTGATTTAAAATTTTCTTGTTTCAGAGGTTTGGTGCCATTGCACAATGCATGTTCTTATGGTCATTATGAGGTGACAGAGCTTTTAGTGAAGCATGGTGCAAGTGTAAATGTCGCTGATCTCTGGAAATTCACTCCTCTTCATGAAGCAGCAGCCAAAGGAAAATATGAAATTGTGCGCCTTCTCCTTAAGGTAAGGAATTTCAAATAATTTTCGAACAAGCTCACTAAATTCTTGGCTGGGAATGTTTATAAGAAACTTTAGGACTCAAGACAAGCTATATCTTTACAGTTAAGTTTTTAATAACGCTTGCAAAGTAAGAATCCTTCTCTTTATACTGTTTTGTGTACTTCCAGCATGGTGCTGATGTAACAAAGAAAAATCGTGATGGTGCAACTCCATTGGACCTAGTTCGGGAAGGAGATCAAGATGTTGCTGATCTCTTACGTGGGAATGCAGCTCTTCTCGATGCAGCCAAAAAGGGCAATCTGGCCCGTGTTCAACGGCTTGTCACTCCAGACAATATCAACTGTAGAGATGTACAAGGTCGGAACTCAACCCCACTTCATCTTGCAGGCAAGTGCATTTTACAGTGGTCAAAAGAATTTTTTTTCTGACCCCCATTTTTGAGGATGTGATGAGACATTGCCAATCAATTATTCTGAGCTAAGACAGTGACACACTTGCGTCCATTCTATGGTATTACTCTGTAAGGTATTAAACTCATGTAGAATTTTCATTGTGTGTGATTGTGTGTGAGATTGCGTGTGTGCTTGCATTAAAGGGTTCCAAAATTTCCTTGTGGAAATCGAAGTGCATCTGAGGAATTCTCCTATGATTATAGCAAAAAAGCCCTAGTGTGATTGGATGTGTGTGTGCTTTAATTTATAGGTTTTAGGACTGTGAGTGTTGCTGTTTTACATGAATGAGACGAATTCTGATCCTCTACCAACTTCTAGAAGTGTCTTCCAAGTTGATATATTTTATATGTGTGTAGAATATACATTGTTGTCTTTCCACAGCGGGGTACAACAATCTAGAAGTGGCAGAGTTTCTGTTGGAACACGGTGCTGATGTGAATGCACAAGACAAGGGTGGTCTCATCCCTTTGCACAATGCCTCTTCCTATGGCCACCTGGACATTGCCGCTCTTCTCATCAAGTATTCGACTGTGGTGAACGCCACAGACAAGTGGGGCTTTACCCCCCTGCACGAGGCGGCTCAGAAGGGCCGTACACAGCTCTGTGCGCTACTGGTGAGAACACTTCAAATTGAGTCAAACTCTGATGAAAGTTGTCGCAGTGAAATAGTCCTCTAATTCTGTCCCATCAAGTGATGCGCTTAATATGTCACATTCTGGGATATGATGGGGACAATTCATTTGCAGTGCTTAACCCTGACTCTGAACTAGAGATTTTAATTATTCAAAGAAGTATTTTTTGAAATCTATTTTTTTTCTAATTTTTCTGGAAACATTTCACATTTTTCCAATTTTTTCTGGAAAAGTTTTCAATCTTCCCAGACATATTTCTGACTGTAACATCTCTGACTCCAAACCCCTTGCGCTCTTGCAGCTGGCCCACGGCGCGGACCCGTTCCTCAAGAACCAGGAGGGCCAGTCCCCCGCCGACCTGGCCACCGCGGACGACGTCAAGTGCCTGCTCCAGGACGCGATGGCCTCCCAGCAGGGGGTGGCGACCTCCCCCGCCGTTCGGCTGCCGGGCGGCCCCGCCACCACCCCGGTGCCCACGCCGTCGTCGCCGCCGTCCCCCAGCGCGTCCGGGGCGGGTGCGGGCGCGGCCGCCGACCTGGTGGTCATGCCCTCGGGCACGGCCGTGCCGCTGCCCGTCCCCGTGGTGCGCACGAGCGGCCGGGCCTCGCCCATGCCCGCCGGCGACGGCTGCTGCTCGCTGCCCGACTGCCAAAAGTCGGAGGGCAACTCCGGGGAGGCTGTCTCCTGCAATATCACGAGCGTCGCGGGCTTCCTCAACAGGTGGGCGCTGTTAATCTGCTGCAAAGCAATGCTTTGCAGGAATTTAACGGTGTGCGCCCGTGGGACGAACAAACTGGACTCATTTGCGACCTGCTCTTGTATTTCAGCCTGGGCTTGGAGCACCTGTTGGAATTGTTTGAAAGAGAACAGATTACGCTTGATATTCTCGGCGAAATGGGACACGAGGATTTGAAGCAGATTGGAATCAGTGCATATGGATATAGGCACAAACTTCTGAAAGGCATTGAGAAACTCTACACTAGCAATGGTAAGTTTTAACTTAAACATTGGATAGAAAAATTGTCTTGAGAAAACTTTGCAACTTACTGTGAGTCTCTGTCTTGTTTTTTTTTCTCTTTAGGCACTCCAAGTCTTGCACCAGTCCCTCCTGGCACATTACTTGTTGACTTGCTGAATGACGATAAAGAGTTCATTGCTGTGGATGAAGAGATGCAAAGCACAGTTAGAGAACATCGGGATAATGGCCACGCTGGGGGAATATTTTCAAGATACAACATAATAAGGGTAATTTGCTGAACACAATTATTCCTATCACATTGCATTTTCCAATAGTAACTAAAAGTAATTTTATTCTTCTTATGCAGATTCAGAAGGTCCAAAATAGGAAACTTTGGGAACGTTATTCTCATAGACGCCAAGAAGTTAGTGAAGAAAATGGGAACCAGGCAAATGAAAGAATGCTCTTCCATGGCTCCCCCTTTATGAATGCCATTGTGCAAAAGGGATTTGATGAGCGGCATGCTTATATTGGTGGCATGTTTGGAGCAGGTTTGTTTTGAGTCATATTTGAGAAATGATAAATGCTCTCATCTGTTTTCAGTTTTTTGCTAACTTTTTTTTTTTTTTTAAATCAAATTCAGGCATCTACTTTGCTGAACACTCTTCTAAAAGTAACCAGTATGTGTATGGGTTCGGTGGAGGGACAGGCTGTCCCTCTCATAGAGATAGATCTTGCTATATATGCCACAGGTGAGAAGCACCTAAGGTGCCCTTCTTTTTGCTTTTTTTTTTTACAACGTCTAATAAAATATATTTTTATTACTTTTCTCTAAGGCAATTGCTCCTGTGTCGAGTTACTTTGGGGAAATCCTTCTTACAATTCAGTGCAATGAAAATGGCCCATGCACCCCCTGGACATCACTCGGTTTTAGGAAGGCCTAGTGCTGGAGGCCTGAACTTCCCTGAATATGTCATCTATCGCGGTGAACAAGTGAGTAACTCTTGTCATTTGAAGCCCACTGCTGTGTTCTAGTAAATTGTACTCTGAGGTATTTGTGACACTCTTGTTTCTTTTTCCTTCCAGGCATATCCAGAATACCTCATTACATACCAAATTTTAAAACCAGAATCTGTTAATGATGACTCTGAAACCAGATGAGGAATTTCCCCTTGTTTTTAAATAGCACAATTGAATTATTAATTTATCTGTAGGAAGCCTCTACCACTGCCACCATTAAAAGAAAAAAAAATCACATAGGGATGTAATGGTTTACAATATGTTGGTACATTGTTGTGGTTTCCACATCAATCATTAGGAAGTGAGTGTTTGAGACAATACTGTCGAAAATATTGTGTTTTGTGGTGTTAGTTTTGTGTTGAAGTGCTGTACTGTCATAAATGAAACATTTTCATTCTACTAAAATTTCTCCAATATCTCAATCTCTCATGTAGGTTATTTGAATGATGTTCGAGCCATGTGTTTCCACTCTTGTGTTGTCAGATACAATAATCATGGAGCTGCTTCAGTTAAGTTATGTTACCACAGATCTGCACAGCTTGGTCATGAAAATCAGGCTGACCCTTTGGTAGTGGTGCACAATTTCCTGTGAGCCTTAAAATTAAAAAGTTAGGCCTCCTTTTGGGGATAGACAGGATTAGTGTGCAGGGTTTCAGAATTTTTGAAACCTGCAAGTGCATTGCTAACCTCCTTACATGACTCATATCCTTCAAGTAGAACTGTTAAGAGTCACTCCTGTACAGGTACTTTCTTTTATAAAAACAATGACTCCTAGGACAGTGTGGGTTTTCACAATTTTTGAATTCTTAGTCATATCATTACACCCAATGAAACATACGGTAATTGTGTCATGGGTGGAATTCATAACTGGGATCTGTGCTATTTTATACATGTAGTTACCACTTTGACCGAGAATGTCGGGTGAAAGTTATCTCGTTGTGGTTTCAGGTGCACATGTAAAAATTCATATTTTATCTCATTTTTGGTTGTGATCATTCTTATTTCAATTTTACGTTAAACTTTTAAATGTGACTTTGACAGGTTTTGTTTACTTGTGTGGTCTCTTGTGATGTATTAATATTTTAGAGCAACATTGCTTTATCTTGTGAACAGTTTCATTACTCTAATACATATGTAAGATTTTCATGAATGTAATTGCTGCTACTTTCATGGCCTTCCACTAAGATCAGCACTTGTCTTTGGTGCCTGCAGGATTGGCCTCCTGGCACATCCAGAAGTGTATATTTTTTTTAACCTTGTTTTACACATACCAATTTGATTTTTAGTTTTGATTTGAAAATTTTACAGCAAGTTCAGAACCAGTAGTTCAGTTTTTGACCTAAATATCCACTTTTTTCTTTTAAGAAATTTGTCAGCATTTTATGCAGGAATAAATTGTCTGCCTTATTATCTGTGACAAGCAGTACCTGAAAACTATCTCTTTTGAAACTTAAATAATTGCCCCTGTACATATATTTTTCTTTCCTCTTTTGCTGTAAGATACATATGTGAAGAAATTTAAGATATGTGTTTCAAATTCTCTTTGTGTGATATTGTGTAGCTGTCTGGCTACATTTCAGTTTTATCAAATATAGTAATGATCTAATTCAATATTAAGTCTGTGATTCTTACAAAATGGGTCCTTTTTCAATCAATTTTTCTGTATAAATTTGATGTTTGTTTGCTGGTGTGATTTTGATATTTTTGTTTTAATTTTTACTTATTCCATACTTACAAAGCATTTTTTTATCCCCCCCCCCTCTTTAAAAAATAGAAATAAAATCTGTCACTTAACAGTTGTGTGTTTGAAAGGACTCTGAGCGAAATAATAATAAATTAGCAACTTTATCAAAGTGACTTGTCTGTCCCATCGAACCATCGTACCCAGGAACCCACCATAGAACATACACACTCACGGACCGGTGGAAAAGTTACTAGTTTTTTTCCACAGACGACGAAGAGCGCATACCGCACACCCTTCCAAATATACGGCGCCAACTGCCAGCTACCCCGGAGCCCGGAGTGCCTCGCAGAACTCGCAAAAGCAGCGCAAGGAAGGAATGGACCCATTATTGGGCTCAAAGTCGGAATCAGTCACGGTCTTATCAAAATGGGATCAAATGATGTCAGTGCCAAGATTTGATGGCCAACAAATGACCGAATCTCGACACTGACATAACCGAATGTCATAGACTAGACTAGGCTAATCCGGTCGGGAGGGCATGCGACTAGTTAATTAGCCTTTCACCTTTCCCGCAACAGCCGACGAAGGTCACTGAAACCAAGAGACTTGTATTCTCTCCCTAAGCCGTGTTTCATTGGTTGCTTGGACTGTGTTTCCGGTCTGAGCGTGGAGCTGAAGTGGTGTCGTGGCTTAAGGGCATTACACGAAGCTCACGAATTGCTATTCGGAGCCTCACCCCTCTCACCTCTCACCCAACTCAATCTGATCTAGAAGGTGCACCGAGTGGCATTTCGGGAGGTGCGTAGCTGCCATCTTTGAGGATGCTGGGTTTGCAACCGGAAGCCGGGATCAGCATGTATGCTCGGCATCGTGCCCCGGTGGAAGGGCCTCGCTATATGAACGGCTCCGGTCGGATCATGAACCTTGGGCCAAAAGAGGCCTCGTGGTTAGTCAAGTCAAGTCAAGTAATTTTCCTTCGGGGGGGGGGGGGGGGGGGGCTGGCGACTAGCTGCTCGAGGCTCGCACCATGGTCTATGAGGGCCACTAGGTTGGACCGAGAACGGGCAGACCGCACTCGCGTTCTCACGGTTCTAACCGGCGGTAGTATTGGCACCATGGTAAGGAAAATCGTGTGTGGGGGGTGGGGTGGTGGCATACTCTCTCAAAGAGCACTCAGGATTCGCAAGATGCTTGATTCCCAGAGACCCCCGCCTTCGGTTTTTCTGTTTTTTTCGAGTCGGAAAAGTCTTCTTCCGACCCACTCTTCTGGATTCCCTGCGAGTATCCCGCGGTTATTTCCAGTGATTAACATATTAATCCCCCCCCCTCCTCCCCAATATATTCCCAATAATCTTGAAAGATTTTCCCGAGAATACTTTTCTGTCAGATTAAAATCCCCGCCTCCTGCCGCCATCAGTTTCAGAGCGAGGTCGTGGTGCCTGTGATAGGGGGCGCGTTGGCCGCCGCCTTCCGCCGGGTGCGCGAGGAGGTCGCGGAGAAGCGCGAGCAGCTCGTCAAGCAGCGCGCCGAGCAGCCCACCGTGGCCGAGTTCTACAAGGGCCGCGGCGTGTTCATCACTGGCGGCTCCGGCTTCCTGGGCCGCCTGCTCGTCGAGATGCTGCTCCGGACGTGCCCGGACATCGGCAACGTCTACCTCCTGCTCCGGCCCAAGAAGGGCGAGAGCCCGCAGGGCCGGCTCCAGGGCCTGCTCAACGTGCCGGTGAGATTGGTCCCGGTGAAGCCATGTCGACCTCAGATCATCTTCGTTAGCGTCACATTGGCTTTGCTTTGTCGCCGAGTGTATATAGTTATTGATTCACTAAATGTAGACACCATTAAACAGGAGCCCCGTTGCAATTCCCACTGAAAGCGCGACCGTTAAAATGAGGCTATGGACGCTTACAATGGGACTTACAATGGGGCTCCTAATGGTGTCTACATTTAGTGAACCAACTATACAGTGTTTTTCAGTGCAGTTTTGAAGTGGTTTGATCGAGTCAAATTAAGTTACATTTGCATGTTACATAGGTCGGTGTGCTTGCTGTTGCCCGCTAATTGGCCTTTCAGCATTTGCTTATATTAATTAACGGTTGAAAAGGTATGCGGTGGAGCGTTGATGAAGCGGGGATTGAATTAGGGCTGATGCTTTTGATTTTGGGGTCCCCTAGCTTAAGCTTACCACCAAGGCCAGGAAGAGAAAGGAGTACAGCCGATTAGGGCGACGGGACTTGGCCCGCTTGGGGGTTCCATCGACCTATGGGGAGGTCCAGTTTGCTATGAACAAGCAGTCAGAAATCCTAAAACCTAAGCTAAATCCTCAAAGCTAAAAAAACAAAAAAAACAAAAAAAACAAAAAAAAAAAAACGGCGGCCTCCTCGCGGGGAATACATGGGTATTTACAGTATGAGCATGTGCGTTATTTACAGGTATTTATAAGTATTTACGGTGGGTTGGTGGGGCGCCTGGCATGTAGGCAGCCCAGTCGGAGGGGGCACGCCATGGCATAGGTGGGTCGCTTGCGAGCTCGGCGCCTGCGAGACTCCGGGTAGGCCATCCCGCAGTACATGCACGTACAGCATGTGCGATGTTGCCTATCTACCAGGCGCTCAGAGAGCGTACAGCCAGCTTCCAGAGGCTGAACTTTGGAACAAGCGTACCGGCGACTGGCGGATGTATTTTCTAGACGATTCCGTGTGACCGTACCGTATGTCCTGCAGTTGTTCGACAGGCTCCGCGCCGAGCAGCCCCACGCCCTGGACAAGATCGTCGTGCTCCCCGGGGACATCACGGAGCTGGGGCTCGGGCTGAGCCAGGAGCACAGGGCGCTGCTGCAGCGGGAGGTGTCCGTCGTGTACCACGTGGCGGCCTCGGTGCGCTTCGACGACCCCTTCCGGAAGGCCGTGTTCACCAACCTGCGCAGCACGCGCGAGGTCGTGGAGCTGGCCCGCGGCATGCCGCAGCTCAAGGTCCTGGTGCACGTCTCCACGGCGTACACCAACATCAACCGCGATCTGATTGAGGAGCGGGTGTACGAGCCACACCTGGACTGGAGGCAGGTGATCCGGATGGCCGAGCAAACGGACCCAGCCAGCCTGTGGGCAATGGACTGCCTGGGCCCCAAGTGAGTTTTATTAGAGCTTTCAAACATTTGCCTTTTACGAATAGGAATGTTTCTCGAAACGATGTCGACAATACGTTTCGAACGACATCGTACCGGCGGCGCTGGTACGTAGTTTTGTCCGACTGACGTGTCGGTCTGATATCGTTGCCTCTTTGTGGACTGCAGGCTCCGGGACTTCCACCCGAACTCGTACACCTTCACCAAGGCCCTGGCCGAGAAGCTGATCGACGACGTGGCCTCCGAGCTGCCCGTCGTACTCGTCCGCCCCTCTATCGGTGAGTGCCTCCGGTGTCAAACTTGCGGTGCTCGCGCGTGCTTATGAGTCCTTAAGGATTTTAAACTCCTTTTTTTTTTTTTTCGAAAAAATTGGAAACTTTTTCAGAAAAATGGAAAACATGAACTTTTCATGAACTAATCATTACGATATGTTTTGTTTAAACCTAATACACACACGCACACTAGGTGCCTGCTCTGTGTTTTAGATAGACGGGAGAGGGGGGGGGGGATCAAGAAGTTTTTGAAAAACTTTCTCAATATTTTTCTTTTTTACGGATATTTAAAATCCCTGATCCTGCTGCCGCCAGTCACGCCGACCTTCAGGGACCCCTTCCCCGGCTGGGTAGACAACCTCTACGGCCTGGGGGGCGTCTGGGCCGCCGGCTGGAAGGGCCTCATCCGCGTGACCCCCGGCGACGGCATCGTCTTCGACACCGTGCCCGCCGACGTGGTCACCAAGACCACCATCCTGGCGTCCTGGGCGCGCGGCCGCGGCATCAGTATAAGGTGAGCTGCCGTCCGTGGGTATGGGGATCGCGTTGAACGGAGTGTCAAGAACCCTCTGACCCCTCTCCGCCCCCCGCAGGCCGCTCCCCGACGGCGCCGCCCCCAAGGGCGTGGAGGTGGTGAACGCCACCGTGGGAAACGAGATCGGCTGCTCTCACAGGGACATGACGTGGGGCCTAACGGAAGCGGGCCTCGCCAACGACTTGGTCTTCCCCGGTATGATCCGGGACCCCAAGTACCAGGTGGTCAGCAACCCGATCGCCTACGAGCTGCTTAAATTCTACCACCACATCCTGTACGGCCTCGTCCTTGACACGGCAGCCAGGATCACTGGCCGGAAGCCGAGGTGAGGATGACTGACTTCGTCGACATGCGACCTGCACCCGACTAAAATTTTAAGCGTACAACACCGTTTTTTGTGATATTTTCTTCGTCATTTTTCATGATTTATCCTTTTTGGGTTATATTCATGATTTTGCGACTGATCTTCTCTGAGGTTTTTTTTTTGTAATTATTGTTTAAATTATTTCTTCTTGATTTTTTCTGATTTCTGAAATAATTTTTTTTAGAGGATACACCCATGTACACTGATTTTCTTTGATCGAAGTATCCTCCGTGTTCACCCTCCAGTCTCAGAGCACATTCCTTCAATTGTTGTACCGTGGCCGTTTGATCCCGCAGAGCTATGAAGATGTACCGAATTATAGAGGGGGCCATGGAGGCGTCACTGCCTTTCCAACTGCGCCAATTCAAGTTCGAGTTGGTGAACCAGCGGCTTCTCCAGATCCTCATGCACCCGGCGGACGAGGACGCGTACTGCATCATGGAGTTTTTCAGCGTCAGGGACAACCTGGAGAAGTTCAAGCAGTGGGCCGTCGACTCGATACGCGGCGTGCTCGTGTACGCGCTCAAGGAGGAGGACAACCCCGACAAGTACAGGCCGCAGCTCGAGAGGCAAGTGACACCAGACACGGCCCTCGTCTCGCGACCGTTGTTGTTGAAAGTAGGAATCGGAGGAATTTTAATGTCCGAAACTTTCCCGGAAAATTTGCGGAAACTTTTGCGGAAATTTCCAGAAAATTTTGAAAAAAAAAAATCTTTGCAGAAGAAATTGGTTAAAAACACTTTTCGGGTAATTTTAAATCCCTAGTTTGAAGTCAATGAAAACGTTTCTTTTTCTTTCTTTGCAGGCTGCGAATGCTTACGAAAGTGTACCACGGAACAATGGCTGCCATTGCCGGTATTGTGGTGTATTGCATTATTCCTTCATAGTCATACCCTTGCAGGTCCTCCAAAGTATTCTCCAAAGAGTGTGACGAGCAAGGCCTTGAGCAAGTAAAGGCCCTGCACCCCTCCACCCCTTTATTCACATTCCATCCACATCCTTTCCCTTACCTCAACAAACCCCTTCACCGAATGTATACAGAGGGTTGGAGTCAAGTAACAGTCAGTGTCAACTTTTTGTTTCTCATAAATAACCACAAAATGAGTAAGAATTAACTAGCTAGAAGAGCAGCTCGATTCAATCTGCAATTTGCGGCAATGTGTTGGTGTGATTGGCAAAGATGCCGTGTAAATAGTAACTGTAAGTCCTACTGTAAATAAAGATTTCGTTTTAATAAAATAACGAAATGCTAGCAATTTAAATGTGCAATGTGTTTATCACGATTGATTACCCCTCCCCCCCGTCTCGCCCGGTGCATTTATTTAAATAGAGTACGAAGGTGTATACGTTCGACACCAATTTCGACGCGATCCTATGTTATGCTAATCATTAGGAGGGAAGGTGACGAGTACCGTCTCCCCCCCCTCCCCTCCTCCTCCCCTTTCCCGCAACAGCATCGACCCTCCTCGTTTGGGCTAAGTTTGTTCCGGCCCCTCCTGCGTAGGTACAGCTGCGCGTGCAAGTCCAGTGTGTCTGACGTGTGGTGGACGAGTGGTCTTTGATTCGCAATGGCGACGCGTGAATATGCACGAGGACAGTGAGGGCGGGGCAAGATCGCGGGCTCGCGACTCGTGCCAGGGTCTCTAGGAGGGCCACGAGGTAGGGCCGAGAACAAGGCTACCCGCACTCGCGTTCAAACCGGCGGCGGCAGCGGCACCATGGTAAGGAGCGGGGCGGCGGCAGCATTCCCGTAGTGGTAAAATTCATGTGGCGTCACATTGGTCAAAATGTAAAAATATCTGTCACATTTTCGTAAAAACGTCACATTCGTTTCAGCGTGACTACGAGGTGTACTTAGGCAAGTGTAAATTCTGGATCATGCCCAAACTCGGTATATTCGTTTCTTATCTATTTTGATGACGAGTGATGGTAGAATTTTTTCCTGAGTGTCAATTTCTAGGGTACTTAAGGGGAGCAAATAAATTGGAAAAAATTGAATTTGGGCCAAAAATAATTTAAGGAGGTCTTAAATCGAAAAGTAGTAGAGGAACTACCCCCCAAAACCGCTCATTCTGAGTCAGAACATCAGCTTAAATTTGTACAGAACTAGAAATTCGTGTTTTCCGAAATTATACGCTTTTATAGAGAGTTTCGGCATATGCCATTCAGGAAAAATTTGTCCGGATTAGCCACCTACATAGATAAGAAGCAAATATGCCGAGGTTGGACAAGATCGATAATTTACACTCGCCTAAGTCGCCTTTTGAGCCCGGCCAATAAGTATATATGGTAGATTGTAAAGTCACATAAAAAAATAATGTGACAGTAGCATCCACAATAATGTGACAGACTTCTCACAGCTAAAGGAATGTGATGTCACATGAATTAAACAACAGAGGCAAAGTCACTTAAAGTGTACACAACGATTCGCAAGGTGCTCCCAATGATTCCCGTCTTTTCCCAGGACTAATGCCTGGTGGTTTCTCGTGGCAGAAAAGTCTTATTTCGACGCACTCTTATTGATTCCCTTTGCGTTTCCGAGGGTTGATTTACATAAGGAAAACTGGAAACTTTTCCAGAAAAAGAGTGTAAAATATTTCCGGAACAATTAGAAAACAATGCAATTTCCCGAGAATGCTTTTTTGTAAGATTGAAATCCCCCCCTCCTGCCGCCATCAGTTTCAAAGCGACGCCGTGACGCCGGTGACGGGGGGCGCGCTGGCCGCCGCCTTCCGCCGGGTGCGCGAGGAGGTCGCCGAGAAGCGCGAGCAGCTCGTCAAGCCGCGCGCCGAGCAGCCCACCGTGGCCGAGTTCTACAAGGGCCGCGGCGTGTTCATCACGGGCGGCTCCGGCTTCCTGGGCCGCCTCCTCGTCGAGATGCTGCTCCGGACGTGCCCGGACATCGGCAACGTCTACCTCCTGCTCCGGTCCAAGAAGGGCGAGAGCCCGTCGGGACGACTCCAGGGCCTGCTCAACGTGCCGGTGAGAGTCTTGCGGCGGGGGGTCGGCGGGATATGCCATGGCAAGGTTCTTTTTCCCAGTTTTAAAAATGGTTTTATTGAAGTCTAGTTAAGTTACATTTGTATTTTACATAGGTATGCTGTTGCCCGTAGGCCTTACAGTATTTGCTTATATTAGATAACGGGTGAAAAAGTAAGTGGTTGAGTGTTGATGAAGTGTTGGTGTTAGGGTCGGTGCTTTGATTTTGGGGTCCTCTAGCTTAAAAAGGCCAGGGGAAAAGGGAGTACAGTCCCGTAGGGCGACAGGACTCGCCCCGCGTGGGGGTTCCACCGACCTATTACCGGCGGCCTCCCCGCGGGGCATACAGCTATGTAAGTATGAACAAGTGTGTTATTTACAAATATTTACAGTGGGTTGGTGGAGCGCCTGGTAGGTAGGCAGCCCAGTCGGCGGGGGCGGCGGCGGGGTGGCCAGCCGCGAGAGCGCTGTGCCCTCTCGAGCCGGGCGACGATAAAACAGAGGGTGGCTCACACGAGCTCCGCGCCTGCGAGACTCGGGGTAGGCCAGCCCGCAGTACACGCACGTACAGCATGTGTGATGTTGCCTATCTACCAGGCGCTATGAGAGCTTCCAGCTTCCAGCTTCCAGAGGCTGAATTTTGGCACATACGTACCGGCGAATGACGGACGTATTTTCTAGACGATTCCGTTGCTATCCGTGTGACCGTACCGGATGTCCTGCAGCTGTTCGACAGGCTCCGCGCCGAGCAGCCCCACGCCCTGGACAAGATCGTCGTGCTCCCCGGGGACATCACGGAGCTGGGGCTCGGGCTGAGCCAGGAGCACAGGGCGCTGCTGCAGCGGGAGGTGTCCGTCGTGTACCACGTGGCGGCCTCGGTGCGCTTCGACGACCCCTTCCAGAAGGCCGTGTTCACCAACCTGCGCAGCACGCGCGAGGTCGTGGAGCTGGCCCGCGGCATGCCGCTGCTCAAGTCCCTGGTTCACGTGTCCACGGCGTACTGCAACGCCGACCAGATGCTGCTGCACGAGCGGGTGTACCGCCAGCGGCTCGACTGGCGGGACGTCGTCAACTGGGCCGAAAACCTCAACGGCGCCGACGTGCAGGCCGTCAACTACCTAGGCCATAAGTGAGCGGACGTCAAGACTGAACAATTTTAGTTTACCAGAAAAGTATTTTTGGTAAATTTTTCAAGAACTTTTAAAAAGAAATTCTTAGTTTTTATCCTTAAGAATTCCATCTTTTTCTTTTTCAAATTTTTCGGGAAAGAATTTTTAGTTTTTGATTTTTTGGTGGTAAAATTTTGAAATCTAAAATTTTTACCTGACTCTCGCCGTTGTGCGCAGACTGATGGGCTCCCAGGCCAACTCGTACGTTTTCACCAAGGCCCTCGCCGAGCAGCTCCTGGAGGAGGTCGCAGACGAGCTCCCCGTCGTCATCACCAGGCCGTCAATCGGTGGGTTTGCGGCGAGGAGTAGTAGCAGGCTCGCTGAGAGCCAAAAACTACCATGACCCCCATGATTCCCTTGCGCTCCACAGTCGTGCCCACCTTCAAGGACCCCATCCCGGGCTGGATCGACAACCTGTACGGCCTGTCCGGCTTCTGGGCCGGCGGCTTCAAGGGCCTCATGAGGATAGTGCCCTGCAAGGACTTGGTCTTCAACAGCGTCCCCGCCGACGTGGCTACCAAGAACACCGTGCTCGCGTCGTGGCATAAGGGCATCGGACGCTCCTTCCCGTGAGTGTTTGGAGTGCACGTTGGTCGCAAGGGCACACCGACTTTTCTTGATTTCTCTGATTTTGACGCTGTCTGATTATTTTTTTAGGCAGGGCAAACACTGATTTTCTTTGAGAGTGATGTGGTTGTTTGTGCGCACAGCAGCCGTTAAGTGCCTCGTTCTGTCCGTGACGCAGGCGGCCTGCCGCCCAGGCTGACGCCGCTCCCGCCCCGGCTGACGCTGCCCCCGTCGCCGACGTCGTGAACGTGGTCATCATGAAGGACTCGGGCGTGTCGTTCACCGACATGTCGTGGGTCGTGTCCGAGGCCGGGCTGGGCCGCATCGTGCCGTTCCCGGGCGCGATCCGGCCGCCCAAGTTCGAGAACACTCCCTGCCACACCTGGTACCTGCTGCAGGCGTGGTACCACCACTACCTGTTCGGCTTCATCCTCGACATGCTGTCCAGGGCGGCGGGAATCAAGCCCAGGTGGGTGAAAGACTTTGTAAAAGGGTGGGTGGTTAAATCATTTTTAACGGTCGATTCATCACAATAAGTAGAGCAGTATTTCTAAAACTTTCTAAGCAGTTCGAACGACAGGGACCCTCTGACACCGAATGAACGATTAAGTAGTTGCTCTGCCTCCTATTATCCCACAGGGTCCTCGGCATCTACAGGACGGTCGTCGTGGCGCTGGACGCGACCCAATCGTTTTGGAAGCAGTTCGACTTCGACAACGACAACCTGAGAGAGCTGCAGACCATGATGCACCCGGACGACGAGAGGGACTACTGCATCATGGACCTGATGTCGAGCAGGGACTCCAAGGAGGCGCTGCGAGCCGTGTCGATACCCTGCGTCCGCGGCATCCTCAAGTACACCCTGAAGGAGGAGGACAATCCGGAGAAGAACTGGAAAATGATAGAGAGGTGCTGTATACGCTTTCCCCGGTCCATCGCAGAGTGTCCCCTCCCTCGGCGTGGTTGTTTCGAAAACTAATGTGGATATGACACTTTTTTGTCCTTTCTCCTATGCAGGCTGAAGTGGGTGATGGCCGTTTACCATACGGCGATGGGACTCGCGTTCTGCGGCCTTGTGTACAGTCTGACCCCGCGCGTCTTCTGAGATGACGTCGTGATCTGCAGAGGAGCTCCTGATCTTTGTAAAAAAAGTGCAACCAGACAAACAGTTAGAGATCATAATTTATTAAACCATCAACAACAACATCTCCTTTGAATTTGCTTAGCGTGCAAAGTCGAAGTTTTGAACACCCTGCTTTGCAGGGCGAAAACAAAAAAGAAAACAACAAGTACAGCACGGTAGTAGCTCGGGTCAAGGGTCACGGTCAGAGGATCCACGGCCGGAGCAGTTTGCCGCCGTCCCTGTTGAACTCTTCCCTGGTGAGGCTCATCTCCTGCACGCCGCTCGAGTTGGCCAGCACGCACGCGCCCAGGTAGGCGGCGTGGTAGCGGTACGGGGACGCGTGAACCTGGCGAGCAAGGAGGGCTGTTATAGCACGCGGCTGGGGTACATTTTTTCACGGCATCTCACTTAGAGGGGCTGTTCAGAAACCATGTGGACTTTAAGGGAGGGGGGAGGGGTACAAATGTCACGGCGTACCAAATGGATCAGGACAGTCATTCGACACCATGTAGCCCCGGGGTACAAATATCATGCGGCCCCTGTAGACTTCAATGACTGTGCTGATTCTTGTGCGACCCTATAATATTTGGGTCCTCCCTAAAAGCCCACGTAGTTTCTGTACAGCCCCCCGCGTGTTGTAGTTTACCCCTGGTGGGGAGACTTCATTCAACCTATGACCTCTACAAAAGACACTGAAATTTTCGAGCTAAATAGAAAGGCCGTAAAAATACACAGTACCCAAACCCCTGCTATAATGATGGAATGTGTACACGAGGGCTTTACAAAGTAGTATTATTACCTTGGGCTGCACGGCCGGGGGCAGCAGGGCGGCGAGCTCCTCGCGGAGCCGCTCCGCGAAGCCCGGGAGCATGGTGAGGCCGCCGGCGAGGAAGACGCTCCGCGCCATGGTCTTCCTGGCGTCCATGCTGCACTCCTGGATCGCCTTGTACACCATGCGGTGCACGCCGGGGTGGTCCAAGCCCCACGCCTGCGGGTGGAACAGCCCCTCGGGCGCCTGGAAGCGGCCGGCATCCAACGTCAGCGACCTGGAAGACGACAAAGGAGAGCGTCGTGAAGGCAGTGCTCGACGGGGCGCAGCGGGTCCGATAGGGGGGGGACTGCTTCACTATTAATTGAAGCCTACACAGAATCTACTTCTGATTTTTTTTCTGTTTTGGGCTGCTTTTGTCTTACTTTTAAATTGATTTTTACTTGAATTTTTCGTTTTTTTTTCATTTTTTGGGGGGAGGGGGGGGGGGCTATACAAACTGATTTATTTTGTTTTGAGTGAAATACTACCCCTCGGGAACCACTCACTCGATGGTGGGCTCCTTGCCGCCGGAGAAGAACTCGGACACGCTGACGGAGGCGGCGAGGTCGGTGGGGTCGCGCTGGGCGCGCTTGAGGTCGGCGCGGTAGCTGGCCGAGACGAAGCACAGGCGCTCGAGGGCGAGGCGCGGCAGCAGGGCCTCGGCCACCGTGCCCAGCGAGACGGGGGGCGCGCGCTGCAGCAGGAACCGGCGCACGTGGCCCTGCATCTCCTCGCCGCCGTACGGCACCCGCGACAGCCCGCCCTCCACGATGTAGCCGTCCATGATGGGCACGACGTCGGTGCGCTCGCCCACGTCCACGACCACGCCGCTGGCCGCGTTGTAGGCGTAGAGCGCGAGCACCGTCTGGTGCGACAGCAGCACCGACCGCACCCCGAAGCGGTCGAACAGCTCGGCCACCAGGCGGGCCTGCGTCGCGCTGTCCAGCGTGCGCGGCACGCTCAGCACCACCCCGTAGTCGCGCGGGTCCACCGACAGGCACTGGAAGACGACGCGCAGGAAGCCCGACACCGCGCCGAGGTCCACCGTGTGCTGCAATAACAAAGTCGTGACAAAAAAATGTTATCCTGGCAGGTGACTTCATCACGACGTCGTCGTCATCACTTCGAAATTCCTCCATCCCTAAACACTGTCTGAATTCGCGCGCAGCCCCTTAGAGACACCACCACGCCGTTGCATGCACAATGGGTGGAGTCTCCTCGAGGTCGCCGCCGTGCTCATGTGGGCCATCTGATTGTGCTCCTCCACGAGGACGCACGCCCACGCCTGCTCTCACGTCGTCGTGGTCGTGCGAGAGCGTGGGAGACTGGCTGCTCCTGTTCCCTTTTCCCGGAGGGGGTTTCCTTTTCCTTCCTCGGCCGAGCCCTAATGACGCACGATCCCTGGGGCTGTTAGAGGTAAAAACTAAAGTCTTCCACTATCATTAGAAATTATTTTTTTGTTACAAAATGCGAGAGTTGTTTTTAAATGTCCTCTATATGCACCCGAGCTGTGCACCAGAGCCCTGCACCGCACCGGGTGGGTGCATCGGATCATCGGATGCCCTCAGAGCAATGTGCATCCAAAAGGACTGGCTGTTGCGGGCTACTCGCTTTTGCGCGAAGGGGTAGCTCGCGCTCGCAACAGCCCACCTTTTTAGAGGTACACTCGCTTTTCGGACGCCATGTGATGTGGGCATGTCCTCCCGGTGCAGGACTCGGGTGTGTACCACCGTGCACTACTACTGCCTCACCTTGTTGATGCGCTCGGTGGGCCTGATGGGGTAGCTGAGGTTGCTGCTGGCGCGCACGGAGGGCTGCAGCGCGGCGGGGCCGTAGACCTTGTCGCCGCCGCCGCCGCCCGCGCCCCGGCCGCCGAGGCCGAGGCTGGCGGCCAGGCTGCGGCGCGTGGCGCACACGGCGGGGAAGAACACCTGCGGCAGCGAGGGCTGCGAGCAGAGGATACCGGCGCGCACGGACCGGCTGCCCAGGTCCACGACGATGCTCTCGCGCAGGAGCGCGGGCGCGCGCGGCACGGGCCACGGCTGCACGTACGTGGAGCAGAAGTCCTCGACCGTGTGCGTCTGCAGCGCGCGCACCCAGCGGTCCGACTCCTGCGGCGTCACGGCGCGCACCACCAGGTAGTGGCCCATCCGGTCGTCCACGCCGATCACGGGCACCGTCGCCGGGTTCCGGTCCTGCGCCGTGATGACCATGGACTCGAACGGCTCCACCACGCCGCCCATCAGCTGCGTCACGTCCATGGGCTTCTCGCTGTGCTTGCCCTGCGCGCGAGATGCAAACTGTCGGTCATGTAACCTCGTCGCGGAGGTGCACGGTGCACGGCGTGGCCGTGTGCTCGATGGGGTACTCACCGCGTAACAGTAGAGGAGGCCGTCCTTGGCGCGGAAGTAGCAGCGCTTCCAGGCGTTCCAGAAGGTGGCCTTGGTGCGGCCGCTGGGCAGCCGCTCCAGGAAGCCCTCCACGTTGACGCGGTCCACGGGCCGCGGCTTGTCCCGAAGGGGCTCGGGGACGGTGTACAGCGCCGCCACCAGCACGGCCTGCAAAACGAGGGCGTAGGTGAGCTAGCTGGGTGGGGAGGCGAGGGTGAGGCCGCACAGCACCTAGCCGTCGACCTCCCCGCGTCGTACTTACCGGGTCCCAGCCGCTCGTGGTGCGCCGCGACTCCTGCGGCCGATCGTCCTCGGGGAGCTGGTCGACGATGGAGGGGATGTCCTGGACGCTGCCGGTCTCGGAGGGCGGCGCGGACGACATCGTCGTCGTCGCAGTCGTGGTCACGGTTGCGGCCATGGGTGGCGATGGGGGCGTCGACGGGGGCGTCGACGGGGGCGTCAGCGGCGTTCTCTCGGCCACGACGGCGATCCCGTTCAACGGAGCGGGCTTGCCGACGGCGTCCTCGGAGCCGCTCCGACTGCTCCGCCCGCTGGGAGTGCTGCCCGCCTTGCGCAGCGCCGGGTGGCCGTTGCGCGCAGCCCGGTCGTCCTGGTTGAGCAGGTTGTTGACCTCCTCCATGGAGGGCCGGCGACTTGTCCGCTTCCCGGACCCATCTGCCGAGGCCGCGCCCGCGATGATGCTGTCCAGGAAGCTGCGCCGACTCGAGGTGCTGCTCGCCACCCGGTTGTTGACGGCGTTCCTGTCGTTGTTGGTGATGTTTATGTTGATGCTGTTGCTGTTGCTGCTCCTGGCGCTCTCGCTGGCGGCCGCGGGTGGCGGTGCGACGGGCGCGGTGGCCGCCGAGCTGAAGGTCCTGGCGCTGGTCGCGCTGGGGGTGCTCTTGGGGGCGGCGGCCGCCGTGGACAGACTGCTCCGCTCGACTGTCGCGGCTGCGGCTGCCGCGCTGTTATGGTAGCTTTGGTTGCTGCTGTGGCGGCCAGCGGCGTCCGCTTCGGACACCACCTTGCGGAGGGTGGTCTTGGTGGAGCTTCCGAAGCCGTACGACCTGGCTGCAGCGGCGGCCGGCTCGCTCCGCAGGTGGCCGCCAGAGGGCACGCCGGCGGCGCCGGCGCCCCCTCCCCCGCGGCGAGCCTCGAACTGTCCCAGCAGGTCCCGCACCGACAGCTTGCTGCCCTGCTGCTGCTGCTTCTGCTGGTCGGCGGCGCCCTGGGCGGCGATCGGCGCGGGCTGCGGCCGAGGCCGCTGGTAGTGGCTCTCGGACTCCATGTGCTGCCGCACCTGCTGCTGCACCCGCGCTAGCCGCTCCGGCGTGGCCTGTAGACAAACGCAGAGCGGCCGCCAACCGGCCGGGCGACGAGTCAAGAGACTGTGCGGAAGCCCGAGCGCAAATCTCTTGATATAGTCGTCGCAGCGTTACTACTTCGCCTTTCGGTTCCACGCATGCGGCATGCGACCGAACCACTGCTGAAAGCCGGACCCGAAGGGCGAGGCAACACACTGCTGCAACTATGCAAACAAAACACAATCACACATACTCGCTCTCTCCCCTCGCCTCCCGCGTCGTGTTCCTCTGACTAGGACTAGGAGGGGGGGGGGGGGGGGAGTACAAACACAACAAATGAATGCCCTCCCTCGAGTAAAGTACTACGCACAACAACAAAACACACACGTCCCCGGCCGCGGACACTGCCCGGCGGCGGTGGCGCAGGTGTCGTCGGCTCGGGTGCGTACGCGGTGACCTTGCTGGCCAGCCGCAGCTGGGATTACCCTACCCGCGCGCGCCTGTTCCTATCGGGACGTCGCGACGCCGCCGGTGACGCCGCCGTCCGGCCGCCCGGCCCAGCCCGCCGTTCTCTACCTCGATCACGTCGTTCATGTTTGCGGCAACGCACTCCACAGAAGACACCCGACACCACCACTGACGGTCGCTCCGTGTGGGAGGGCCGGTGGTGGTGCTCTGGCCGCGCACTATAGGCTTTTGCTCACCTCAGCAGCCTACGGCGGGTGCAACAACTTGTGCGGGCCGCAGCACTTTTGCGGCCGTGTCGCGCTGCGCACGCACCCCGCCCGAGGCGCGCCTGCCCCCCGTGACCGCGATGCGCCGCCGCCGCCGTCACGCTGCCCAGCCACACCATGGAGAGCGTCCACGTCGCGACTGACGGGCGCGTCGGGCGGGGCCGGGCCGGGCGGGCGCCGGGCGGTGCGGCGGTGTGCGGCGGCGTCACAGGCTTGTACAGCCCGCGCAGTGTTTGCTTGTGGGCCCGCCGCACCGCCACCGCCGCACCGCACAGACCGCCATTGTGCCATGATAAATGGAGGATCACGCTGCTCCCCTCTCCTGCTCGACTTCCCCTCCTCCTCCTCCTCCTCCTCCTCGCCCTCACTCCCCTGACCGCCGCCCCTTTTTCCGCTCGGACGCACTCTACTCTACACCTGATAACGCGGACCCGGCGGATGTCCTGCCTGCCCCGCCTCCTCCGCCCCGCCCACCCTGACCGGGACCCTGGCTCACCTGTTGGATCGGGTCGGCGCTGAAGGACGTCCTCGGGGAGGTCTGACTCGTCGTCCTGGCGGGGCTCCAGTCCGAGCCGACGTCGTTGAGCCCCGAGTCCCTGCTGGACGCCTTGGCGTCGCCGCCGCCGGCGTCGCGGAGCTCCCGCAGGCTCGAGAAGGACGTGGTCGTCGTCGTTGTCCTGGCCAGGGCATCCTGCTGCTTGGTGGTCACGGACACCACCAGAGGGGACACCGCCGGCACCGGGGTCTGCTGCTGCGAGAGCACGCCACCTGGAGGACGACATAAGGAAAAGGGCGGTCAACATTTGAGCCCAAAATGCACTTCTATTCTTAATTGCATCCAGCAAAAACATTTTTCTTATTTCAAGACTGGGCTCGGGAGTATCCTCCCACTAGAGTTGCTGCACCTGAAAAAATCTATGTAATGTCAAAAAATTCATGATTTGGATTTTAGAGTCGTCTTTTGATTATTGATTAAAGAATTGTTTATCGTTAGCGTAAGAACACATTCATGAACACCAGGAAACAGTAATGTTTATGTTTGTGATTCTAGACTAATTTTCTTTGATTCAGAGACGAACTTTTATTTTAAAATCAACTTAAACGTTCTCTTAACACCAATATGAACCTTTTTTAATTTTCTTTCTTTTTTTTTTTTTTTTGGTCGAAGGAAATGTTTTATTTTTTTCCGGTATGCGGCCACGTTGGCCGGATCGCGTCTAGGCCAGGCCTGCAGCTGGGCGGTAGGACCAGACCAGACCAGAGAGACCAGCCCGAGCCACCAAATGATAAAAATACTAATAATAATAATACAATCATCAGCGCGCCGCCGCTAGAGCGCTAGAGCCGCCGCAGGCTGGCCTGGCGGCGCAGCGCGGAGCTAGAAAGCGAGGTGGTCCGAGCCGGCCGCGAGGATGAAGAAGAGCTCCTCTACTCACAGGCCCGCTGCGACAGGCCCAGCGCGCAGATGGCGTGCAGCATGGCGAGGAGGGACTCGGCGGCGCGTGCGCGTGCTCGTGCTCGACGAGCGCCCGCGCGCGGGCGGGAGGCAGCAGCGCGCCGCCCCCGCGTCTCGCGCACGGGAGTCGCGCTGGTCGGCCCACCTCACGGCGGCAGCACCATCCCGTCAACGCACGTTATTCCGGGGTACGGTACACGACGACATCACGTCCACATGTCACGCTTTTCAGCCGACATTCGGCACGGCAATGAACGCGACGTTATTGACCCTTTGCGCGTCACTCTCCGGCGGGGTCTCTTCCAAAAACTATCCTCGCGGACGCGACGGCGAACCGCTGAGGAGAGACTCTCGTCGCGTACGAGCCCCGCGAGAGCACTGCGACGACGGGGAGCCGGCGATGAGATGCTGGGTCACGAGGCTCGGGGCCGCCGCCGGGGCCCGGGGGGCCGCCCGGGCCCGGGAGAGGAGGAAGAGAACACCGAACAGTTGACGCCGTGGTGACACCTGTACGCCACTTGTCCCCCGCCGCGCCTCTCCCGCCCTCGTGCATGCAAAGGAGGGCCGCTAGGCTGGCTCGCGGGTGAGTGAGTCAGCCGGGCTGGTGCAGCTCAGGTGATAACAGAGGCAAACAGTCACGCCCGGGATGGGAGTGAGGTGAGGGTCTGTAGCCTCACACCCGGCCTCAAACAAGCTGGAGGGTGCTGCACCGAGACCCACAATGATATGGCAACAGTTTCATGAAAGAACCAGCATTTTATGTTTAAAGAATTTTTATTAAATGATTATTGAACTCTTAGGAAACGTTGCTGACAAATACCCGGGCGGGATCTTAGTGCCGATGTAATTTTTGACAAATGACAACGCATTTTCAAATAAATCAATCAATGAAATCTTTTTACTTTTTCGTGTCACAGCCTAATTAATGTCCACACGCCCGCATCGCAGCGCCGCTAACGTGCTGCAGCCGTTGTTAGAGTTAGTACTAGTGGTACAAAACAGTCGTCGTGTCGAGCCTGCCTGGCGGAAGTGAAGCAGTGCCGCCGCGGCGGTTTGAGGTGTAGTATACGGCTGTTGTATGGCATTGTGGCGGACATGCAAATACCATCTTGGGGGAGGAGAGGGCGGCGGCGGCGGGAGTGGGTGGAGGGGCCGGA